GCTTTCCATCTTAGTCCTCACGGCTGACAATGCATCTGCATTTTGATTCGCAAACGAGGATAGATGTAGATGTCTATCGGCCTCAGCAACCACATACCATCAGGTGGACTGTGTGCTCGTTTGTCACACGTATTCTATAAAAAAAAATATTTTGGACTACAAGCATCCATAATAGTTAGTAACATTTTTTTAAACTAAGATCTAGTGTTAGTAACATTTGTAAATAATATAACTTAAATTAAAAACCTCCGAATCAAAAACAGCTGATGATCTTCAAATTAACTAAGAACACTCAATCGAGTGTTCTTAGTTTGAAAGGTGTTCTTAATCAAGAACACCTTTCAAACGAAAAAACCTAATCAAAATCGGTTCATCCGTTCAGGAGCTATGATGCCACAGACAGACAGACACACTACAAACATATACCACTCCCTGTTTTCGTCGTAGGTTAAAAATAAAATAATTGACGACACAAATAAGAAACTGCACCGATGGTAGCAAGAAGTCAGTCTACATGCAGCCGTACCCGTGGTTTGATATTTTTTTGTTTTATTTTTGACTTGTATTGTACAATTTTTATATCCAATGCCGGATACTTTAAAAGTAACAGCCTATACTATACGTCTCACTGCTGGGTACAGGTCTATTTCTTTCTTTTTAGGGCACGGAAATGTCCGCCGTGCTGCCCCAATGTGTGTTGGCGAACTTCATATATTATCTATGAAATATTTTTTTCTTATTTCACCGAGCTTCACCAATGCGTGTTAGCGGACTTCATATTAGGTCTTTGAAAAATTTAAAAATTTGAATGGTATTGGGTAGTGAATTTTTTTACGCCGTCAATAGATGCACTAAAGCACTATAAAGTTAGGTAATATGATATAATATCCATTACTCCGACAAGAGGTAAAAACCACACGTTATAACTATTTGTTCATTACATACCATTTTCCTTATGTTTAAAATATTTTCCTTGTAATCGTTTAATATCCTGTAAGAACGCCCATACCTAATATGGGCGTTCTTGATAGAATCTGTAGCACATCCCATGTTATACGTAATAGATCGGGAGATGGTGGCAGAAAATAGTCTCCCATTTTCTCCTGCATGCCTTTTTAAGAATTAATAACTAACCCTAAAATATGAAAGATAGAGGGGTTACGAACCCTTGCGCGCTTGCACGTCATAAAGAAAATGGCTTCTCTTTGTGTAAAGAATTTTAGTATTTTTCCGTGACAGTATATTGCATGCCTTTGTAATATAACGTAGTTGGAACAAATTTAAGCTATAATAATTGATGGCATGCAATTCGCAACGGCCGACGGGGCTCAAAGGGTTACGTAGAAATGAAAAAAAAATAGAATATTTCCGTGTTTACAAATTGCATGCCATTGTAAAAAATTAGTTTTTTTTTATCTCAAAAATACTCTACGAAAATTGGCATGCACCCCTCGTATGACCAAGGGTGGAAAATATTAGGAAAATGTTGTGAAAATTCAATACAACTTTTCGTGAGTCCTGAATATGAGGCTTGGAGTCTCATATTCAGGATTAACTGAGGTTGTTTAGGCCCAAAAAAGGTAATTTGTACGACATCCAATCACGTTCGACTTCGTGAATCGTCCGATGGTACCAGGTGTCACGAGCATCGCGGGGAGGGGTCAGCGGTAGGCAGCTTCCCAGCGTGTGACGCTCGTGGGCGAGAGAGAGTAGCTCGACGGCGGCTGGGCAGTTAATTGGTGTCTTTCGATGCCCGCCGCTAAGGTTTCGAGAGACCGTTTTTTTTGGATTAAGGTCTAGAATTTTGGAAATTGTGCGCGTGACTTCGCTACGTAACTGTGTTTCGTGAAAACCGCCTCGTTTTAGGTTGTCTATAGTTTAAGTTCTTGACAAGAGGCTTGTATTGTGTTTAACTGATTAAAGTAACTTCTTTGAAAGTAATTGTGCCGCCGCGTTAAGTGCCCTTTTTTGTGTGTTGACTGTTTTGTTAGTTTTACGTGTCAACGAGGCGTATTTTGAATTCTTATGGCGGCGTAGTATTGGATATCGAACGAAGGAATTTAGTTGTGTTTGTAACGCTGTGTTTGTGATCGCAATAGTTCACTATTCGTCATTTGGTGATAAATGAATCCGGGACATTGAATGTTGAATTACTATCCGTTACTGTGTGGGGTATCACGTGTTCGATTCTACGATAAATGTGGAATTAGGCAAGTTGAAGTTAGTTAAATGTACAATGAAGTTAATAGACTGAAAAAGTGCCATGAAGAAGGAAATGGTCCAGCGGGGAAGCCTACTGGAGTGATGCAGCATTGTGGGGCAGCCTGGAAACCGGCCGCTGCCGGCCACCTCAGCTGGTCCAGGTCTCAGACACATACACATCACTAAACACTACTTTCCATTCACCTTACACCCAACTACGGCCTGACCGAGCCTTGAGCCGGTCTTAGCTTCGGATACAGGTACGTACTATATTTTTCTAGCCTTCTCCCTACAGTTTAGTATGATAGGACATTCTTCCATATGGCCATTTGGGCCCGACCCGCGCTGCCCGTCGAGCAGGCTGCTATGGGCCCCAGCCAAGGCGACCTTTGCAGGGGCAGCTGCGGGCCGTAACAGAGGTGTTTTTCTGTGAAAAAGGTGTAAAAACCAGTGCCGAGGTGTACCAAAATACCGCCCTAACAAATATAGTAGAGCTTTTTGCTCAAACAATGTTCAAAAACAGACATTGGATATTCCAACAGGAATCTGCACCAGCTCATAGTGCACGAAGCACACAAAACTGGTTGACCGCCCGTGGAATTGATTTTACTTTTGGATCTTGACTTTGATTTCGGACATGAAGAGTGGCCCTCTGATAGTACAGATTTAAGCCCACTGGATTACAAGATATGGCAACATTTGGAGGAGAAAGTCTGCGCTAAACCTCATCAGAATTTGGAATCTCTACGAGCATCTTTGGCTAAAGCAGCGGCAGAAATAGATATGAATGTGGTGCGTGCTGCGATTGATGATTGGCCGCATCGATTAAGGGCATGTATTCAAAATAGGGGAGAGCATTTTGAATAATGTAAATAAAATTGTATTCTTTATTAAATTACCTTTCATTTCATATATAATTTCTTTTTTTTATAGAATTAGGGTGACAAACGAGAACACAGTCCACCTGATGTTAAGTGGTTGCTGTGGCCCATAGACATCTACATCCATCCTCGTTTGCGAATCAAAATGCAGATGCGTTGTCAGCCTTGAGTACTAAGATGGAATGCCTCTTTTCCAGTAAAAAAAGTCTCCGGTTCTCTACACTCACCATACGAAACACAGCAGTGTCAAGCTGCTATTTTACGCTGGAATTCTGTGAGAGCGTGGTCCTTCCCCGGTCGAGCCGACCCATTCGTGCTACAACTATATTATAAAATTATACAACTATATTAATATCTATATAATTATCAAAAAGTATATCATTAATTTTATAAAAAGTTTTTGACTGAACTTATGACCTGACTAAGTATAGATAATATGAAAGTTTAATTATCATATGGAATCTGTATAACAATCTATGTAGCCAAAAGGCTAGGTGTATAATGTGTACATACCCTACTTAATATGTTGGTCAAGATTTTTCATGTTTGACAAAATTTAATAGTAATCAGTGATTAACTTGTGAAAATGTCCAGCCTTAGACAGTCACAGGCTGAGAAAGAAAAATACGAAGAATCAGTGGGGTTATAGTAAAAACAAAACATTACAAATATAAATAATTTAATATGCATAATATATCACTTTAAAAATAACAACAAACATATCTTAAACAATGGAATATATTAGATAGAATAATGTTCGAGTCATTTAATAGCAAAATTATTTAAATTTCATAATTTAACTTTAATTATTGTTACATGTTTATAACATATTTTTGGTTTAAATAACAAAACTGTTTTTGTTAAATATCAATATTGTAAACAGAATATATACAGGGTTATTTTTCAAAAAATAGCCAAATTTTAAACTTAAGTTCAAATATATAAATAATGATATATCGTTATTGCAGTTTTTGAAAATACGTGTAAATAAGGCTTCTACTTTTATTTGAAATTATCCCAAATTCAATGTGATTTATGGGCAACAACGTTTTTGCTTAACATACGAATGTGTGCGTGCGCAGTAAAATCGGTTAAAATAATGCATTACCACGCATTTTGAATTTAAAAGATAAAAAGGACAGAATGTTCGAGATTTTTTTTCAAATGAATTTTTCGTCACCATTTGACTATATTACTTATTCTGAACCTTCTGTGCAAATTTGGCCGGTTATTGCAAAATAACCCTGTATAATGGACGAGTTTCCAGATAATATATATTCTTTGAATCAGAAGTGTGGGATTCATATTGTCACTCACTTCATGCCTTAACCCGACAATGTAAAACGTTGGGTAGGTTTTTTTTAATAGAATAAGGGTGACATGCGAGCACACAGTCCACCTGATGATAAGTGGATGCTGTGGCCCATAGACATCTACATCTATCTTCCTATTAAGAATCCAAATGCAGATACGTTGTCACCCCTGAATAAGACGGAATGCCTCGTTTACAGTAAAAAGGGTCTCCGGTTCTCTATACTCACCATACAAAACAGCAGCCTTAAGTTGTTATTTTACGCTGGTATTAGTTGAGAGTGTGGTCCTTCCCCGGTCGCGCCGACCCATTCGTGCTACAGCCATTATATAGCTGCAGCGTGGCGCTACCACGTAATCCAACATAGGTTACAAATTAATTATACTGGTTAGATTTTTACTGTCATGAGTTTAATAAAAAAATGGATATACATTTCAAATTAAAACAAATCCAATGAATACACGTTGAAACTACATTAAAATTAAAATTACAAATTTTTGATTGCCTATCAAATGACTCGTTTTAACCTCCACCACAGTTCTAACATTGTCTCTATAACAATTTTATAATTATTTTTGGTAATACATAACGTCCCCGAGATGTCTTCAAAAGATTTGAGCGTGCCGCGATGAATCTTTGAGCTTCAGCAGGCCGTTCAAAATAATGGAGTAGTTGAAGTACCAAAATAAACCGAAGATAAGTACGAAGAACACATCTGTCGTTTCTAGTGAAGGAAATTAATAACATACACAAACTTCACTTTGGATCAAGGAAAAATGGGCTACCGTTTGATGGTTTTTCAGGAACCGTGGTAGCGCAGGTGTTTAGCGCTCACTGTAAATATCACAGTACACGAGCAACCCGAGTTCGAACTTCGACGGCACCAATGAAATTGTTAATTACAATCATAATTGTTGATTTACCACGTGCCCTACGGTCAAGGAAAGCATCGTGAGCATACTTGCATATCTTAGAAATTAAAAAAAATATATATATTTCGAAGACATGAGCAGACAACACACGTTGGCGCAGCGCCGCGGACTTTACTAGTCGTAAAACCTTCTCAGATATGAGAGAAGGCTGTGCCCAGGAGTGGGACGTAGTAGGCTGTAGCTTTTGATGGTTTCAATTAGAGTAGAATATTTTTTATAATATTACATAATACTTATTAAAAGACAATTGACGGCTCCGTGGCTTAGCGATGAGTTGTTGCGAACAAGTATTATTATGGCCTATAAATAATTGTTCCGGGTCTGGATGTTTGTCCTTGTGCAATTTATGTTTGTAAACTGCCTCCACGACACAGGAGAAAATGCTAGTGGGGGTAACGTTTTTTAAGAAAAAAAATATATTTAGCAATGGTTCGAAAAGCTATGTCATGGGATGTACCAGCAAGAAACCTATCATGATTTTTATTAACCTTTCAAACCAGTATACACCATGGATTCACCGCAGCTTACTGTCAGAATTAGGTAAGAGGGTTCCTAACGAGATAGATTCCTGGTCAGAAAAGAAATCTAGTAGTTTTTTCTATAGTGTTTTCTAGTTATCGTCGTGATAAATGTATATTAGGTATTATAGCTATATTCATGAGGCACTGAAATATTTTAATTTATAAAACACGAACGATGTTTAAAAAACACAACCAGGCGGATCGTGCGCTTATCTGTGTATATAGCAGAATAATAATTAATATAAGTTAACAGTTTAATAATAATTTAAAATTAAAAATTTTGTACAACGACTTCAATATAAATTATTAAGAATAACTGATAAACTATTGGTCAGACCTTGATCAAATTTATATCGGACCACATGAGAAATTCATCATCCTCATTACAGCCCTTCACAAGTCCACTGCTGAACATAGGCCTCCACCAAGGAATGCCACAAAGCACGGTCCTGAACCACCTGCATCCATCGACTTCCTGCATATCTTACCAGGTCGTCACTCCATCTAGTGGGGGGACGCCCAACACTTCGTCTGCGGGTAAGAGGCTGCCACTCGAGAACCTTTTTTCCCCATCGGTTGTCGGTTCTTAGAGCTATATGGCCGGCCCATTGGCACTTCAGCTTACTAATCCGTTGGGTTATGTCGGTTACTCTGGTTCTACTGCGGATATCCTCATTTCTGAGTTTATCACGCAGAGAAACTCCGAGCATAGCCCTCCATAGCTCGCTGAGCGACCTTGATCTTCCTTATCCGGCCAGCAGTGAAGGACCACGTCTCAGTTCCGTATGTCATCACTGACAACACGCACTGGTTGTACAGTCTCGTTTTCAAGTTTTGAGGTATACCTGATGAGAAGATGTGCCGTAATTTCCCTAACGCTGCCCAAACGAGTTGAATCCGTCGATTGACCTCTCGGTCGAAGTTGGACTTACCTAGTCGGACTATTTGTCCCAGGTAAACATACTCGTCAACAACTTCGAGCTTAGTGCTCCCAACAACTACCGGCATAGGTGTGACATGGACATTAAACATGATGTTTGTTTTGTCCATGTTAATCTTAAGACCTATCCGTTGGGAAGCACTATTCAGGTCTTTGAGCATGGTGCTTAGGTCCTCCAACGATTCTGCCATAAGGACTATATCGTCGGCAAATCGAAGGTGAGTGATGTACTCGCCATTGATGTTGATACCGTATCTTTTCCAGTCCAGAAGCTTGAAAACGTCTTCCAATGCAGCGGTGAAGAGTTTCGAGGATATGACGTCACCCTGTCTTACACCTCTCTGCAATTGGATAGGTTTCGTACTCTGGTTCTGTACTCGGATAGCCATCGTAGCCCTACTGTACAAGCACTTCAGCACTTCGATATACCGACAGTCAACTTGGCACCGCTGAAGGGACTGCAGCACCGCCCAAATTTCGACGGAACCAAAGGCTTTCTCATAGTCCACATACGCCAGACATAGTGGCCAATTGTACTCCTCTGACTTCTGTACAATTTGCCGAAGGGTATGTATGTGGTCTATGGTACTAAAGCCTTTTCGGAAACCGGCTTGTTCGGGAGGCTGGAAGTCGTCAAGTCTGCGCGCGAGACGATTCGTAATGACTCTCGAAAACAGCACGTAGACGCGGCTCAGAAGGGAAATCGGTCTGTAGTACTTCAAGAGAGCGTTGTCGCCTTTCTTGAAGAAGAAGACCACCGCACTTCTGCTCCACGCCTCCGGTGTAATGCCACCATGGAGGACGGAATTAAAGAGCTTCTGAAGGACTTCAAGTACCGGTTTTCCACCCGCTTTCAGAAGCTCCGCTGTAATTCCATCCTCGCCTGGGGCCTTGCCGTTTTTAAGGTGCTGGAGAGCCATTCTAATCTCGCTCAGATTGACGTCCGGGATATCATAGGAATAATGTCGGATAAGACTCGCTCTTGGGTCGTTACTCACACTTGAGTGTGGCTCCAACGATGACGTGTACAGCTGCCCATAGAACCTCTCAATCTCACTCAAAACCTCAGGTGCCTCGGAAACGATGCTGCCATATTCTGTCTTCAGCTTTGACAGTTGGCTCTTTCTGGCAGACAGATCTCTGGCAAAGACTTTGGAGCCTTGGTTCCGCTCGATCGCTTCTTCAATACGAGCCGTATTGAAGTCCCGCCGCATGCATTTGGAGATCTGTCTGTTCAGTTGCCTGTATGCTGTCAAATCTGTTGAAGAATGTAGCTTCATCTCCTGTCTAACAGCCATGAAATTAAGAGTGTGATTGGAGAGTTTTTGTGTTCTTCTGCGGCGGGTCTTGCAGAACTTAGCTCCGACCGCATGGACAGTTTCCACGAGCTTGTCATTCATATCGTCGACTTCATTGCAGTCTTCTAGGCACTGAAAACGGTTTTGTAACTCGAGCTGAAAGGTTTCGGGACTTTGGATTAGAGCACGAGGGGGACGGAGCGTTGACTTCATTAGACGAGACCTCTCTAATTTAACGTTTAGGTTCAGTGTGCCTCTAACCATTCGGTAATCGCTGCCGGTTTTCACCCTCGCGATCACTGAGGCATCACTGAACAGTTGTCGTCTGGTCGTCATAATGAAGTCAATCTCATTTTTTGTCGCACCGTCGGGGCTCGACCAGGTCCACTTCCTGTGAGGCCGCTTCTGGAAGAAAGAGTTCATTATAAAGAGTCCCTCTTTCTCCATGAAGCCAGCCAGCTGCGGGTCCCTTGGGTTCCGTAGCCCTATTCCAAATTTCCCTACTTTCAGCTCACCATTCTCTCTTGTGCCTAGTTTTGCATTGAAGTCTCCCATTAACACCGTATATTGGGTTTTGGAGGAATGCATGGCTCTAGAGATATCCTTATACATTTCCTCCTCCTCCTCATCGGGGTGTGCCGAGGTTGGTGCGTAAACCTGTATGACCTTCAGCGAATACCGTTTGGTGATTCTGAGTATAAGGTACGCAACCCTCGTCGACACACTCAATCTTTACAACGTTGTTAACGAGAGACTTGTGGACGATAAATCCGACACCTTGGGACAGATGGTCGCCCTCCCGGTAATAGAGCAAGTTGCCGAATTCGAAAATTACCGTTTCCTCCCCCTCTCTTCGGACTTCGGATAATCCTATAATATGCCAGCGTAACTTGTCTATCTCTTCTTCCAGCTCCACAATCTTTTCGTCAGTCCTCAGGGTGCGTGCGTTGTATGTTGCCAGGTCGAGTCGTCGTAGGTGGCAACCGAAACTCCACCGGAGATTCTTAGCACCCCCTGCCCCGCCGTTACCATGGTCGCCACCGTAGCCAGGAATAGCGGGGCCGCCGGGGACTGGGGGCGGACTCTTAGTAATTTTATCCATTTGGGGGGTATTTGCCATAGTTGCCACGCTTGGCGAGCGGGTTGGCAACCGCAGTTTTTTTTAATCGTATTTTTGCTGTTATCAGGAAGATGCTGCTGCCCATCTCCTGCCTGTTTCCCTTTGTCGCCTTTTACGACACCCACGGGAAGATATGGGGTAGTGGATATTCTTAACCGCCACTACACGGCATGAGAAATTACCAGCTTTTAAATAAAAAAGAACAAACATACAGTCGAATTGAGTACCGTTTCCTTTTTGAAGTCTGTAGGAGAGTCGTAACTTTTCCACTGGCTCGATACACACCCCATCACTTGTAGTCTTAAACTGTCATACTTTAACTGTAGTTTTATTTATGTGATGTGTATCATCATCATCATCATTAAAGCCCTTCACAGGCACCTGCATCCATCGACTTCCTGCACGCCTTACCAGGTCGTCACTCCATCTAGTGGGGGGGTCGCTCTACTTTTCGCCTACCGGTACGAGGCTGCGAGACACCAGCTATGGAGACGGCTATGCTCGGGGTTTCTCAGCGTGATAAACTTAGAAATGATGATATCCGCAGTAGAAGCAGAGTGACTGATATAGCTCCAACGGTAGTAAGCTGAAGTGGCAATGGGCCGGCCATATAGCTTGAAAAACCGATCTTTCTTTCTATAAGTTTTAATTAGACGAACATTGGTACATCAGAAACAGTTATTTTAAACTCATTAAGTAGTTAACACAACAGGAAACTGTGCCAGCATAGTTCACACTCCGGGTAAGAATTTAGAAAACAGTGTGAGTAATTAGGATTTCACGTTGCGCAATAGGAAAATTATACGTATTAAATGAGTTACATGAACGTCGTTAAGCCGAGTTATCTCAAGGACACTCGTTTTCAGCTTAGGCGAAACAGAGTCTGATTTCCGTGACTTTCAATAAGTATTACTGTAATCTGTTAATGCAAATAGATGACTCTAATTAAACTTTTAAATGGTAAAACCAACGTCAACAAATAATAATTTTCACATTGTTTAATCGCTTCTGAAGTTATAGTATCAAAGAATTTAAGTCTTAACTTTAGAAGTCATTAAGTTATGTAGAAAATATTTTATATCATTAGTTTAAAAAAAGACAACAACTTATACAGATATAATATAAAATCCAAGTACATGTCCTGTAATGGGCTGTTTGGATGAATACCAATATCATGCAATATATACTAGATGAAGACGCATGACCTAGGGGTAGTACAAGGTTCCATGTTGTGTGTCCTGCATTAGAATCCCATAGAGAATGAACTTTTCTCTAAATGGCAACCATACCTATACAATCATGGTGCATCCTAAAAATTGTCAGATAATATTCTTGCGACCGGTTGACTGCAGATAAATTCTTGGGTGAGTGCAGTTCTGCTCAAAATCTTGCACTATAATATCTCCTTAGACGACTTCTAAGTTCTTCTACTACTTGCATTTGAAACTGCTTTGGAGTGAAGTCCTCTTTATCATAAATAAGTGTAGAAGGAAGTGCAAACGGGTTCACAAATTGAGTATGCGAACCCAATGTCTGACGGCCTTTCCACGGGACGTACATTGTACGAATGTTTGCACGCATGTGAGTGACCGGGGTAACATTATTTTCTAAGAAACAATGACTTACATTGCCGGCAAATTCTTAGTGGGTCACTTACTTGTGCGTAAATTGCATGGTACCAAAAATATATAATAAAATCCCATTAAATATCCGATTAATTAATGATATCAAAAGATTTAAAACTGCGCTCAATGGCTTCCTTTTTGAAAAAGTGTACAAAGTGTATGACATAAGAATATTTTTTGATGACAAAATGTAAAAATTACTCCAATTATGTTCATATACCTCTATGGTGAAACATGGCTGTATCTAATAATAATTTTATATGTGACATCCTGTAATACCCAAGCTTATGAATTAATAAATGATTGATTGATTGATTTAAAACATGTCTTGCTAGGAATTCAGGGATTGCGCTTTGTAGTTAAATTTAATTTACTTAAGAGGTAATCAGAATCAATCTTATTATGGAGAATTTTATGTAAATATATAAGGTCATATTCCTTACGGCGAATAAGTAAGGTGGTCACTTTAAATTTGTCGAGTAATTCACTATAACTAACTAGATTACGAGCAAACATAAATTTGTAGCTAAGTATTCTAACAGTTCTTTTTTGGACGCTTTCTATGCTATCTGAATGGACCGTGTAGCAGGGAGACCAAGTTTCAAATTATCGAGTTGTAAAGGTTGCAAGCATTTGTGATATAATTCAGAGATGATTGCAAGTGTATGATTATGTAACTTTGGGAGTCTATTGCCAGTGTAAATTACTCCGTGACTGAGTTATGATTTTTTAATACCCTAAAATAAAAATGCTCCTAACAGTGTCCAGCTAGCCAGTAGAGTAGTCCAGCTGTGGACTTTTGAGACCTGATGGGGAAGAAATGGAACCTAAAATACGATATTAATATTCTTTTAAAAACATCAGCATAGAAAGTCAATGCAAATACAAATGTATCAGTCATTTATTCCAGAGTTTCCTAAAGTGGGTTCCGTGGAACTTAAGGATTTCATGGAAAAGTCCAGGGTTCACTTGGGTACAAATATTATTTTTTAAATAGCACAAAAATGTAATGAGAAGTATGTAGGTGCGTAGGTAGCTATCAAAAATTATATTATAATATTTCAATTGCAGTGTCTATGATATGTTATCATTCGATGTAGGGTTCTATAAAATAAAAGGGATTTGGTGAGTGTTCCATTACTGTAAAAGTTTGGGAACCACTGATTTTGATCATACAGCAAAGGTAAAATTCAAAACAACGTAAAGTTACAGCCAATATACATGCCTCAGCCTATAAATGTACACAACTGGGCATAGGCCTCATATCATTTCAGAGAGAGTCTTCGGGAGTGTCCACCATGCTGTCCAATGTGTGTTGCCAGACTTCATAGTCATAGTCATTTATACCAAAAACAATATACATTGTGTGGGAAAACTTAATTGTAACATAAAATATTAAATCTAATTAATTAACATTATTCGTGTCTACTTAAAATGTCTACAAATTAATTATTAATTAAATAATGCATGCAATATTAATTTTTACCAAACTCATGTCTGAAATATATTTTTCAAAGACATGAAATTTTTCAGACATGCAGGTTCTCACACAATGTTTTCTTTTACCGCAGAAAAATAACAAAACAAAGGCAATCATGATTACTGCCATTTACTAAAGTCCCATATTATAGAATAAGCAGAAAAAATAAAACACACAGTTACTGTTCTGTAATAATATTTTTTTTGTAAAAACTGTTTTGTTATTGGTTATTGATAGGTTATTTATTGATTAATGTGTGAGTGAATTGTATGCATGCCCTTAATTTTAGCCTCTATGATATTTAGTATGTATAGACTCTTGTAAACTCAGAGGTGAAACCCTTCTTAATCAATCTTTGTTCAAAATAATGCTTATGCAATAAAATTAGAAATTGGTTGGATACACTGTTAAAGTAAGCAGCACAACCAGACCTAGGAATCTTCGATTTTAATACTCAGGGATCCGATGCAACTACCACTCTGATCAGAAGGCTGTGTGGTTGTCAGAATAAGTAGTTTCATGAAAGGTTCTTACAATTAACAAAAAAAAATCGAATGCCATTATCTAAAACGATGTTACTACATTTTATTAACGAATTTAATATAGGTGTCATAAGATTGATAAGGCTTTTAAGAGGCTAGTGTATTCTACTATTCAAGTTGGCATAACCATTTACCACTAACATTGATAATAGTCAATAGCTTAATTAAAAAATACAAACCAGTAATAATAATATTTTAAAGGATACGAATTACCACCTTCTCCCATGGCTCTACCATATACAGTTCTGTAGCAACTAAATACCTGACATACCAAAGGTTAACAAATTTACGAATTCTTTGCACCATTTCAGGCATTTTATTATTTTTATTTTTATTTCCACGTATCTCGTAATACTTATGTACTCGAAAGCAAAATCTTGGTATTATTTCAATATTAAGAATCACTTAAATTGCAAACTTTTTGCATTTACATAAACAGAAAGCTAATACTTCTTAAAAAATTAGTAAAGATCACTCTGAACACTACTAAACACGCTCTAATACAAAATTATAAAATATAAAATTAAAATTAGCCTAAAATATGCGCTACATGTAGGGTTTCGTTCTACAAAATGACAGGCATAGATTACCTGTATATATACTAGAGGCATGACAGATGAAGGTAGTGATGGACTGATGGGTCAACTCGAGTTGCGCTCAACTCCTGTTGATACTCACTCCCGAATTAGAGATCAGGCTGACATATGTGGGCAAGCGAGGGTAGAATTTATTTATCGTGCATATATACCATATAACACCAATAAATTATTATGTATTATTTATGACAATTAAATTATTAATAACATAAATACCTACCTCATAAAAATACAGTGATATTATTTGATAAAGATTGTCTATACCCATACCAAAAATACATATACTATAAATACGTTTTTATTCCAATTCTACTAATTAAATTTAGTAATAATAATTGTCGCAACACATGCGTTAGTTTCGTATAAGTCTGTACCCAACACGAAATTGAATGGAAGAACAAATATCAAATTGATACAGCTACGCTGCGCCAATTTGAGTTGCGTACCATCATTACAGCTCTACACACGTCCACTGCTGAACATAGGCCTCCCCCAAGTAATGCCACAAAGCACGGTCCTGAGCCACCTGCACCCATCGACTTCCGGCATGTCTTACCAGGTCATCACTCCATCTAATGGGGGGACGCCCTACACTTCGTCCACCGGTATGAAGCCGCCACTCGACAACATTTTTCCCCAACGGTTAACGGTTCTTCGAGGTATATGGCCGGCCCATTGCCACTTCAGCTTACTAATCCGTTGGACTATGTTGATCACTTTGGTTCTACTGCGGTTTGTCACGCAGGGAACCTCCGAGTATAGCCCTCTCCATAGCTCGCTGAGCAACCTTGAGCTTCTTCATCCGGCCAGCAGTGAAGGATCACATCTCAGTTCCATCGGTTATCACTGGCAACATGCACTAATTGTACAGTCTCGTTTTCAAGTTTTGAGGTATACCTGACGAGAAGATGTGCCGTAATTTCCAAAACGCTGCCCAGCCGAGTTGAATCCGTCGACTGACCTCTCGGTAGAAGTTGGATTTACCTAGTCGGACTATTTGTCCCAGGTAAACATACTCGTCAACATTTTCGAGCTAAGTGCTCCCAACAACTACCGGCATAGGTGTGACATAGACGTTATACATGATTTTTGTTTTGTCCATGTTCATCCTAAGACCTATCCGTTGGGAGGCACTATTGCGGTCATTGAGAATAGTGCTTAGGTCCTCCAGCGATTCTGCTATAAGGCCTATATCGTCGGCAAATCGAAGGTAAGTGATGTATTCGCCGTAAATGTTAATACCGTATCCTTTCCAGTCCAGAAGCTTGAAAACGTCTTCGAATGCAGCGGTGAAGAGTTTCGAGGATATAACGTCACCGTGTCTTACACCTCTCTGCAGTTGCATAGGTTTCGTACTCTGGTTCTGTACTCGGATAGCCATCGTAGCCCTACTACTAAGAACTTCAGCACTTCGATATATACCGACAATCAACTTGGCATTGCAAAAATAACTGCAGCACCGCCCAAATTTCGACGGAATCAAAGGCTTTCTCATAGTTCACATGCGCCAGACATAGTGGCAAATTGTACTCCTTGGACTTCTGTACAATTTGCCGAAGAGTATGTATGTGGTCTATGGTGCTAAAGCATTTTCGGAAACCGGCTTGTTCGGAAGGTTGGAAGTCGTCGAGTCTGCATGCGAGACGATTCGTAATGACTCTCGAAAACAGCACGTAGACGCGGCTCAGAAGAGAAATCGGTCTGTAGTTCTTCAAGAGAGCGTTGTCGCCTTTCTTGAAGAACAAGACCACCGCACTTCTGCTCCACGCCTCCGGTGTAATGCCACCATGGAGGGCGGAATTAAAGAGCTTCAGAAGGACTTCAGTACCGGTTTGCCACCCCCTTTCAGAAGCTCCGCTGTAATTCCATCATCGCCTGGGGCTTGCCGTTTCTAAGGTGCTAGAGAGCCATTCTAATCTCGCTCAGACTGACATCCTGAATATCATCGGAATAGTGTCGGATAAGACTTACTCTTGAATCGTTACTCACACTTGCATGTGGCTACGACGATGATGTGAACACCTGCCCATAGAACCTCTCAATTTCACTCAAAATCTCAGGTGTATCGGAAAGGACGCTGCCACACTCGGTCTTCAGCTTCGCACGTTCGCTGTTTCTAGCAGACAGATTTCTAGCAAAGACTTTGGAGCCCTGGTTCCGCTCGATCGCTTCTTCAGTACAAGCGATTAAAGTGGCGTAAGTCCCACCGCATGCATTTGAAGATCTGTCCGTTCAGTTGCCTGTATGCTGTCGAATCTACTGAAGACTGCAGCTTCATCCAACAATCATGAGATTAAGAGTGTGATTGGAGAGTTTTTGTGTTCTTCTGCGGCGGGTCTTGCAAAACTTAGCTCCAACCGCATGGATAGTTTCCATGACCTTCTCATTCATATCGTCTACTACATTGAAATCTTCTAGGCACTGAAAACGGTTTTGTAGCTCGAGATGAAAGGGTTCGGGACTTTGGATTAGAGCACGAGGGGGACGGAGTACTGAGTTCATTAGACGTGGCCTCTCCAACTTAACGTTTAGGTTCAGTGAGCCTCTCACCATTCGATGATCGTTGCCGGTTTTCACCCTCGCGATCACTGAACAGTTGCGTAACTCGAGTTCAATTTGAGTTTCAAGAATTTCAACTCGAGTTAAGTCGAGTCAAGTTTCTTCCTACTTGGCACATCTCTAGACGAAGATAACTTATCTGACTGACATCCTATGCTGACACCTGACAATAACACCGTCAAAAAAACAGGTTGTTGTTGTTGTTTTTATTATTCGCTCGAAAGAGCAGGCAAAGGAACTATGCCATACATCCTTGTCTTTTTTATTTTGAATATATAGAATTTCACTGCTTCACAATATGTTGATGCGTCACATTGTGCAGCCCTTGGGAAATTTTGACGGCAACTTGAGCCAGTGGACAGCTGACAGTTGGCGATGGTATCTAAAGGCGCCTATGCAAACAAACCGCTTATCTTGAGAATCCATCACCATCAGAGCACTTGTTTCATCGTTTCCACTAATAGTTCACATGCGTAGACAGTTGATACATAAAATCGCATCACTTTTACATATCAAATTCCACTTCAAACTATTATTTAAACTATAATACAGGAGCAGCAAACCGCCGCCGGTCAAGTTCCCGCCAAAACTCCCAAAAAACAGGAAACTGACATTGATAATGACATCAGGCAAAGAGTACAGCAAAACCAGATAGACCGAGTTCGGTACTATATACTGGGCAAAGTAGCGCTATTCCAGCCTGGAGGATCGAGAACCGTGTCGCAAAGACAAGAGCTCTCATCAGCAGATTGATAAGATGCAGGTCGGGCAATAATAGGCTGAGAAGTGTACGCACCGTCAGGATGGCGTTTTCTGGGATAAATATCAGTTTGTCCCAGTCGGATATAATGCAAAAAGGGACGGCGAGCATAGATGACCTGAAGCAGAGAATCGTTGCTTCAGGCGTGTCACTTTGTAAAAATCTGAGGTATGGAAAATGGTGGCGCGATTTTCAAATTTGTTCGCATTACTCGTGGGGTATTAAGGTTTAAGAGTTTGCAGTGTATATACTCAACTTATTTATTGAACTATAAGATGTGGGGTATTGAGGTTTAAGGGCTTGCGATTTATTTATATGGGGTTTGTAGTAATATGCGATTTATTTCCTAATTTCAGCTATGGAATTCCATACCTTGAAAAACTTGAGGTATGGAGTGCTCCATACCTTCCATAGAGGAAGTGACACCCCTGCGTTGCTTGGGGGAGGCGGATTCGGCGTTTTCGATTTCGGCGGACCAGAATCGTCTCTTCCAGAGTGATCAGAAGAAGCTCTATAAGTCATTGGAGCGACCAATGGTACCTGGGACGGGCCCATCACTGAAGCATGTATCTATCGCAGTTTGGCACGGCCTGTGGCCAATGCCCGTAAATCTCAACAAGGGTCCTTAGACAGAAGTTGTGGCGAGTCAATGTGCGAGTGTTACGTACATGGACCTTGTCATCATAACGCCGGATGACGTAGCTGAGCCGGTCCGTAGGGTCATGAACTGGAAAAGTCTGGGACTTGACGTGCTGCATCATTACTGGCTGAAGGCTCCCGAGACTCTTCACTACTGGGATCACTCATTTGGTTCCTAAAGACCAGGATACCACAGACCCGAGCAATACCATATACAAGACATAAACAACCATTTTGAGAATCACTCGTCACCTGGAATCAAATCAAGTGATGTCATGCGCTCAAAATCGATATCGGGGCGGTGCTCGTGGAACCAAGAAACCACTCCTCATTGACACGGTCGTTGGCAAGGTCGTTAAACTCAACCCTTGGAACTTCTTCGCCACCTGGATGGACTATAGGAAATCATTCGACTCGGTGGCTCATACATCAGGGCTGAAGAGGGTCCACGAGCCGTACAAGGCTGACTGTACAGTTAGAGACTTTCTCGGCTAGTAGAGTACGATCTCTTGTCATCTAGGCGAGCGGAGGTTAGGTAGAGTTATATTCTTTTCATTTTTTTATCAGGCTTACTTAATACTTGTTCCGTTCGGGATTCGAACCCACGGCCTTTAGCGCTGTAACTCATTGTTTGGTCACTGTACCACGGAACCGTCTTTGACATGAGCTTCTCCCGTACGATAAGGATTTTCTAAACATATTGGGGGATGACTCACATCGGGCCATTAACACTACTTCTCGCAACTGCAATTCCCAAACGAGCAATGGAGCGTTACATATGGGAGGTTACATATTATGGCGATATCTTTATACCGCTTTCGAGCTTTTTTCTATAATTTCCCATCTCATCCTTCAACTACAGTCACAGCACATGACGTACCAGGCGGCAACAGGTACAACAGACAATTTCGCATTCTGAAGTCGGTGTTAAACTTATATTTTTTGTTGAAAGTTATTTTTTACCCTTTTGGACTAAGGGATACCATAATCTCATCATCATCATCATCATCATCATTACAGCCCATCACAAGTCCACTGCTGAACATAGGCTTTCCCCGAGGAATGCCACAAAGCACGGTCCTGAGCAATCTGCATCCATCGACTTCCTGCATGTCCCCCCACTAGATGGAGTGACGACCTGGTAAGGCATGTAGGATGTAGCCTAAATAGTAACATTAAAAACTTTATCCCCAATTTTGCCAGCCTTAGCGATGAAATGTTTTCGCCAAATTTATGTGGAACCACCCGTGAAGCATAATCTATGGATTAAAAAACAATCTTCCGTTCACCTGGTATCACTACTTGCGACCGAGGTGAAGTTTTTTGTTACATTCTCATATAATTGAGAAGTTACCGTTACAGCCACCTCCCCCATAGATTACCACGCTTGGCATGCGGGTTAGTAACCGCCATTTTTTTTAATTTTCAGTCTTTATTAGACAGACGTTGCTGCCCATCTCGTGATTTGTTTCCCTCTGTTGTCTCTTACGATACCCACGAGATAATATGGGATGGTGGTTATTCTTACACCGCTACTAAACGGCCCTTAAGAATTTAAGTTTGAGAAGTTTAGTTTTGAATAGTTTTTTCGGTTTCTAGAGTATTATGTAAATACAATAAAACCGGCCAAGTGCGAGTCGGACTCGCGCACCAAGGGTGCCGAACAAATCCGTAGGTATATAAGTTTAAAACTATTAAAAATATTATTATTATATGATGTAACTAAAAATTTATGCTTTTCGCAATTTTTCCTTTATCTGTGCTATAATACGTTACTTCGTACCAAATTTTAAGATTCTGAGTTCATGGGAACTACCCTGTAGGTTTGATTCCCTTGCGAATGTCGAAAATTTGCGCCACAAACGGCTGTATGTTTTGATTGCGTTGGCTTAGAAGTTTGATTTTTTCACAGCGCCAAAGGATAGTAGACTTGAGTATTTGATATGAATTTCAATTTGATACCTCCACGCGTTGCTGAGAAAAAGGGTCTTGTCGGACAGACAGACAGACAGACAGACGGACAACAAAATGATCCTATAAGGGTTCGGTTTTTTCCTTTTGAGGTACGGAACTCTAAAAAACAATGCCTTAGTGGTTTGTTCCTTGTGATTTGTCAAATTTCAACTCCTTCCAAAGTGGCGTCGTCCTGATTGCAAAAAAATCGTGGATCATTGGCGAAGATATCGCGTAACAAACATACAAAAAACGTACAGGGGATTTGTGAACCTCAACCTCTTTTGAAGTCGGCTAATAAAATACATATTTGTTTTAATAATGTTTTATTAATCGCGCTGTTATTCATATTGTGACCTTAAACTTAAAATTATTGGTATCAGCCATTTCACTAAACATAACACGATTGTTGCAAGCAATAAAAATTATTTCTACACTGGTAGTAAAATTAAACGCAATGAAAAATTACGATTTGTACTTATATATATATATACTTAAAAAACTAAATATGCAATTATACAATTTGTTAACATAATTTGTATGATTTTTTTAAAATTAAAATTAGTCCCTACCTAAATGAGGTGCAGTAGAGACCATAGCGGATTTTAAAATATATTATCTGTTTTTACCAAACCTATAGTACATATTTTGTAGCTATTATTCTGTGTGTAAAATGATTATAATATTATTGTTTATACTTTTTCCTTATTCTATATATTTACATTAAAATCTATTTAATTAAGGAAAATGTTAGGAAGCGGCGTGCTATCACTCGATTTCATACGAAATTATTTCTATCATAAAACTATATAGAAATAATTCACAATCGTAGCAAAAAAATATCTATTAAAAACAAAATTATTCGATTAAAAACGCTAAAACCAATCGCCCGCGCAAAATTCTATATATGGTAACATTACATTAATATAAGCGTGCAAATATAAATTTAAGCGGTAAAACTTCTGGAATATATAAATAATTGACTACAATTTCATGTATTATTGTTTTCAATTTCATAAAATCGTATTAGATTCATGCACTTTGATCCATCAGTCTTTCAAAAGGCACCAATAATGTCCAATAAACATACTATTGTATATAAAAATAGCTGCCATATATATTAGCTTTCTTGTATATATATTACTAACCTACTTGGCACAATTGTGTTAAACAACAAATCACATATTATTATATATTTATATATAATGAAATTCATAAGTATAACTACGAAATACTGTTCGTAATTCTATATAAACGACATTCTTCAAAATACCCTAACTCATAACGCTTTTTTTATTATGGCAACTCCATAAAAAAGTAGAGTATGAGACCGTATTATTCATAATACAATTAGGTATTTCGTCTTTATATACAACAAAATGCAAATGGTTTTGTCAGTCTGTTTTATAACCTGTAAGTACATTTTCAATTTGTTAAGTCTAATTATTATTATTCGAGTTTAAGCTGTAATACATTGTACTAAAGTTGAAAATAAGATTGATACTTTATGTTGGACGAAATTCCGTAGGAAGTAAATGCATTGTGACTTGCTTACAGCAAATATTCGTAACACTGCCTCCACACTGATATTGACAAAACATTGGGTTCACAATTAATATTAATATTCTTCCCACACCCAATATTTACATAAATATTAGGTTCACAACGAATACTGAAATATCACCCCACTTTCGGGCTCATGTGACACACTACCATATTTATGGACAATTTGGTCATTCGAGGTACTCCGTGTAGCCCTGTGCCCCTGTGAACACGACATCGATCCAGATCCTTGCCGCTTCACCAGAGGGTGCCATGAGGAAGTAGCGGCGCTGCCTGGTCTTCACTATGAACGTGGTCTGCGGGTTCGGAGACTTGGACGTGTTTCCGTGGTCTAGGTACACCTCTTCGATTACCTGGAAGTTAAAATATACCTTATTGAACACACAGACATCACAATAGTATTAGGAATGAGGGTAGAAAATAAAAAGAAAATACGAAGAAGGGAGGGAAGAACTGTAATCTTTTTAGGGATCCGTACCCGAAGGGTAACCAATGGGACCCTATTACTAAGCATCCGCTGTCCGTCCGTCTGTCTGTCAGCGGGCTGTATCTCATAATCCGTAACAGGTAGACAGTTGAAATTTTCACAGAATGTGTATTTCTATTGACGTAATAAAAATAACAAAAAATTAAAAATTAAAAGGGGCTCCCATGTTAGAAACGTGTTTTACGATGGTACGGAACTCCTCATACGTGAGTCTGATTCGCACTTGCCATCAGGTGAACTGTGCCCTAGTTTGTCACCCCTATTCCATAAAAAAAAACACCTAGTAAGCGCGTACATAGCCAGGAATAAAAAAAAACGCCTAACGCCCCAACAATTAACTTATATTGAGCGTTTAGCCCTTGAGCTCTTACAGTTCTTTCCCTTTTTTATACTGTACCAAAGAGACTTAAATCGACTTCTAGGAATACAAGGTTGCACCCACGGCTCGTGTCGCTTTATTGGGGTTCCGTACCCGAAGGATAACCAACGAGACCCTATTACTAAGCCTCCGCTGTCCGTCCGTACATCCGTCCGTCCGTCTGTACGTCAGCGGGTTGTATCTCAAGATCCGTAATAGGTAGACAGTTGAAATTTTCACAGAATGTGTATTTCTGTTGGCGTAATAAAAGTGAAAATAAATTAAAACTTAACAATTAAAGGGGGCTCCAATACTAGAAACGTATTTAACGATGGTACGGATCCTTTCATGCGCAAGTCCTACTCGCACTTTGCCGGTTTTATTCATATAATGCTAAGCAGATGCTGTGGCCCAGACATTTTATACCTATCTATGCTCGATTAATAACTAAAATGCAGATGCGTCGTCACCTCTCGGGTCTAAGATGGAATGCCCCGTTACCAGTAAAAAAGGGTCCCCGGTTTCCTAGACTTACAATACGAAACACAGCAATAGTAAGCTGCGGATTAACGCTGGTTTTCTGTGACAGCGTGCTCCTTCTCCATTTGAATTAACACATTTATACTGCACCTGATCATACCTATACGTAAAGAGTGAAAATATTTTAACATACCTGGAAGTAAGCGCCACCTCGCGGCTTCTTCTCGCTCTTGTCCCAGTAGTACACGAACGTTTTCGACTCCCGGTCGAAAACGAACCACCTGCAAATACAGTTTAGCGTATTATTTACAATTCTTTAGAAATATACGTGGTAGAGCCATGCTGAAGCTACATTAGTAGTATAGTTGTAGCACGAATGGGTTGGCTCGGCCTGGGAAGGACCACGCTTTCATGGAATACCAGCGTAAAATAGCAGCTTAACACTGCTGAACTTCGTATGGTGAGTGTAGAGAACTGGAGACCCTTTTTACTAGATACGAGGCATTCTATTTTAGTTCTCAAGCGTGAACGCATCTGCATTTTGAGTCGCAAACGAGGATAAATGTAGATGTCTATGGGCCACAACAATCACTTACCATCAGGTGGACTGTGTGCTCGTTTGTCACCCTTATCCTATAAAAAAAATGAATAACTGTCTTGAGCTGAGCGGGCTATTTGCATGCCATTAGGACATGACATTTTTAAAATTTTTAACTGACTTCAAAAAAGGAGGTATACACCTCCTTTTTTGAAGTCAGTATTCGTAGTAATCGACTGTATTTTTTTTATTTATGTTACCTCATAACTTTTTTCTGGTTGAAGCGATTTCGATGATTTTTTTTTATTTGAAAGCTGGTGCTTCACATGTGGTCCCATATAAATGTGATCAAGATCTGACCAATAGTTTATGAGTTATTCTTAATAATTTATATTGAAGTCGGTTGTACAAAATATTTAATTTTAAATTATTTATTACATCCAGCTGTGACAACCCTAGCAATTTATTGCTTACGTCGGCTTTTCCGACAACATCAAAGGCAGTGACTGACTGTATGTTCTTATTAGGCTATGGTAGAGGCCCACGCCCAGCAGTGAACGAATAACGTGCCGATGAAGATAAGAATTATTCACTAGAGAAAATCCTTACGGACATACCTTTTGGACCACGTGTGGAACTTCGCGCCGAGCTTATGCAAGTATCCGCGACACGACGTGGAATCAATGATCACGTAGGGGCACAGCTCAATCTGGTGACCTAGAAGGAACAGCAAAGTTAGAATATTCTAGAATTATCTTAAAATAAGTCTTAACGTTAAGTAAATATAATATACTAGCGATCTCCACGATGGCTCGAGCCAGCTTACGTGTTTTACGTTACTAACGGACAGCAATTGATTTTTATATATAGAGAAGCAGAAGAAGACAAGTTTGTTTTTAAAAATCAAGTACGTAAGCATGTGAAAAAATCGTTGCAAGTTTGAATCGTTGCATGCTGTTGAAAAAAGCTAAATAGGTTTTCTCAACACATTGTTATAACACCAAGAACAAAATGTTTTGCACTTATTTACTAGCAAATAAAGAATTTGAATTTGAACTAACACAGCTCTTATTTTCACATACATATGTATATTTCATATTTGTTCTGAGATAGATAATATTTATATGTATTGAGTATATATGTACTGTATGCATGTATATTTGTATGTATGTATTTATTTATGTATATATTATGTGTACTTTTAAGTATATGTGTATGTATGTGTGTGTATATGTATATTTATATGTATATGCAATATTTGTTTAGCCCTTTCTATTTGGATTACTGCTGCACCGCCTCTTGTTTGTCTATCTCTGTTTAGCCTAATGGTCGACTGTGAGAGAATGCCCTATGGCATTAAGTCAGCCATTGTATGTACAATTTTGTGCATGAAAGACTAAATAAACAAATAAAAAATAAGAAGAAGAAAATTTCATCCAATGTAATGGTTGCGAAATAGAGACCGACTTGATTACTACAACAGATTCAGTGGCAGCTTGAGAGACTTCATCACTCCACATTGTCGGGAATGTCGTACTCGTAAGAGTCGACTATGAAAAACGCCAGAAAAATCTAATAGCTTCCAATACTGCCGTCGGGCACCGCTGATGATGTGAATCTCAAGATAAGGTATCTTGTTCTGCGTAGGCGCCTTGAGATACTATCGCCAACTGTCTGCTGGCTCAAGTTGCCGTCAAAATCTCCCAAAAACTACGCAACTACGCTTCAACATATTGTGAAGCAGTGTACTATAAAGGATTATTAACACTTGATACTGCGATAAATGAAGACATGGCTTAAAGGACAAGCATCCAAGCTAAAAAAGTTATTAAAAAAATAGAAAAAATTAATACAAAAAAAAGTCTTGTCAGTGCATCGGCGACTTGTTTGTGTAGAGCGGGCATTTATTTTTGATGTGAGTGTGCTCCTTATTCACGCCGCGTCAACGGCACAGGAGCCGCATTAGTTCAGGGGATAAGCGCTCGCTGTAAATTTCACAGTACGCGAGCAACCCGAGTTCGAGCCCCGCCGGCACAAATTAAATTAATTGCAATTTTAAGTGCTAATTCACCACGTGCTCGGCGGTGAACAAAAACATCGTGAGGGAACCTGCATGTCTGAGAAATAAAAATGTGAAGTTCGTCAACACGCATTGGAGCAGCGCGACTGACATTTACTTGCCGTAAAACCCTTTCAGAATTGAGAGGCGGCCTGTGCCTAGCAGTGGGCCTATATATATAAGCTGTAACTTTACAACGGCACCATCGTCGTATACAAGAATAAACTCTATGGTTTATTAAAAAATGCGTAACGTTGTTGGTGATGAAATGTAAATACTTATTACTATACTCATGTTCATGGGTACTACTTTATTCAAATCTAAAGAAACACACCGGAGGATTAACGAGAATTGCAGGGCTATCGTTCTTCGATCCGTTTATTGATCGATTAGTGACGAGGTGTGAGGAGTGACTTAAACGGCGGCTGCGCTCTTAGTGTGACGTGTTGACTAGATATATTACTTGTGACAATGATGGTCCTCCAGACCAAAGAGCGGTCATGGCAGTCTCAAGGGAGACCAGCCATCTGAGTAGGACAGGATTATAGTGCACAAGTGTGTGCGCAAACACAGGTGCATTTTCTATTCTTTTACTCCGTCTTTGAGTTGGCTTGGGTTATAATTTTATTTTATTAATTATATCATCACAAGCAGATGGCAGCTACCAAACATACCGATTTCAAGGTACTATACAAGCCCATTCTGCGTAGATCGGCTCAAAAATCTCGGTTAACTATGGTATTGGAACTCGAATACCTGTCTCCCCGTGACCACGGGTGTTGTAGCGTACACAAAGGTTTTGAATTTATAATAAATTAATATAAGCAATAAAATCCGTAAAATTTAGTTTAATTTAGAACTCACCCGCGGACTCGACGTGCGTGCGCAGGTCAAAGTCGTCGGTGTCGACGGGCAGGTAGCGCGTGAGCGGCCGCGAGCACTCCGCGAACACTCCGCGCCGACTGCGCCGCGGCGCGCTGCTGAGCGACACTGCACACACACACACACACTGCTCGCTACACATATACAATAGCACAGAACAGAAGAGAATAGAATAAACAAACATACGAACGTTTATTTGACCAACACACAACATTGGGAAACAAGTTTATACGTGGTAGAGCCACGCTGCAGTTATATCATGGTTGTAGAACGCATGGGTAGGCTTAATCAGGATGGACCACGCTCTCCCAGAATACCAACATATTTTTTAATAGAATAAGATTAAAAACGAGCACAAAGTCCACCTGATGTTAAATGGTTGCTGTGGCCCATAGATCTATCTTCGTTTGCGAATTAAAATGCAGATGCATGGTCAGCCGTGAGGACTAAGATAGAATGCCTCCTTTCCAGTAAAAAGGGTCTCCGGTTCTCTACACTCACTATACGAAACACATTAGCGTTAAGCTGCTATTTTAAGCTGGTATTCTGTGAGAGCGTGATCCCTCCCCGGTCGAACCGACTCATTCGTGCTACAACTATACTATTAATATAGCTGCAGCATGGGTTTACCACGTTTAAAAAATACACAAAAAGACTAAGATGGAATGCCTCGTTTCCTTTAAAAAGGGTCTCCGCTACTAAAAAAATCTGGATGAATTATTTACGCGGTCACCACGCTTAATTAAATCCTTACTATACTGTTTGACATCTACACTTACGTATGTTGTCCCTACTGAAATCCGAAGCATGACTGAGCGGCCGGCTGTCGTCGCTCCGTTTGTCGTCCTCGGTTGACTCGGTGCGCGAGTTGCGTACTTGCAACTGTGGACAAAGGAAAAAAAACTTTAATATTGTTAGATCAATTACTTAATAATTGTTGAACATAGGCCTCCCACATAGATTCCAAAGAGTCAGTAATTCTTATATGGAGCAATATATACGCTTTTAGAACAAAGTCCTAGAAAATATGCATATCTATCAAAGTTTTATGATTGATAATAACGTCTGGCAATGACGTGATTGCTACCATGCCGTTTTTAAATATTTTCATATTTAATTGTTTTAAATATTATATTATAATATTTTTTTTAAACCTAGGATAGAACCCACGGCCCCCAGTGCAACAACTCATTGTTAAGCCAATGCGCCACGGAGCCGTCAGAGCCATTGTTCGACGGGACGACATTCCGACACGACCGGAGAGAAATCAGGCGCAAGACCAATGGGTTTTGCGTGCTTTCCGAAGCACGAGGTGAAACATTGCCAACTTCTGACTTAGGGACACGCGAAAGCAAATATTAATATTTAATATCACTGATAGACAGTAAATTGAGATGCAGTAAGTACAGCTTAAGGGCCACAAAGCCGTGTAAATTTATCGATATATACATATGTATCGCTAGTATATTATAAAAATTAGACACAAAGTGAAATGGATTCTGTTAACAATGCGCTATCAATGTTCCTAGCATGTAAATATTTTACGATATGATCACTCAAGTCTGGCCACACCATAAAAAGGCAGTGTGGTTTGCTTAGCGATATCGTGAAACGGTCTCTATTCATTGATTGGTCAAAGGCATATCATGATGTAGGCAATGGACAGAGTAACATTTCATGGAATGGTTAGGTTTCATGAAATATTGGGCGTTACATGGTGGATCGGGCCAAGGCATATTATGTGCAGTCGTTATTCCTGAAGTAAACGTCGGATTTTTACAAATGGATTTGAATAGATTTCTCATAAGTGCGCGAATAACATTTCAGGATGACATAGAATATATGACGTCAGCATTAAATACATAGTATGGCCTATGACACTCACAACTGTCAATAACTTTACAAATATTAAACACTCGTTGCCCGCGGCGCAATTAAAGGGGGAAACAGCACATACACGTCTTACGGTAGGCATAGTGCAAGCGTCCTGTTTCCCCATTTCATTGCACCGCGGGCAGCGAGTGTTTAACATTACTAGTGAACTAACAAATTAAATTTTTAAATATTATAATTTTTTTAATATACCACGTTTTATTCATTTTATTATAAGCTAAAATTCTGAGCTATGTTTAATATTTCAAGTGTCTAGCTCATAGGGAAGTTACTTAAAAATCAATTACTAAGTTTTACCCGACTGGAATACACGAAAGTGACTGAGTCTGCAGTCTGTGAACACATACAGGATCGCCCCCGTCACTATATTAGATTTTGATAGCCACAAATCCTCACTAAAGAACGCCGATTCCTTCCAAGAATCATTCGCAAGGCTATTGAAATAAAGAAAAACATCCTTATTTCAATAGAGAAGATGACTGGGTGCTACCATCTGCTTGGAATCCTATAATTAATAAAATTAAATCCAAGAATAAATTCAAGATACTATAAGTTCATACTGCGTAGATAGGAACAAAAATTAATAATTTTAATTTGGAGGTAGCCGTGGTCATTGGGACGACAAACACCTCAGTCCCCCCGTGACCATGGGTGCTGTAAAGTGCTCGAAATATCGGGTATATAAAATAATTTAGTATACGCGATAAAATCCGTACAAACTAGTTTTATTTAAACACGAAAGCGAGTTAATAAAAACTTAGTAAAAGAGGAAAAAAGGAGCAAAAGACACATTAAAGAAAGAATTAAATTAGTAAATCCCAAAGTTACATATATGAACTTTTTAGGAAGTATATATCTTATAGAAGTAAGATTACTGTGGTCGTGATCACTTTTTAATTAAAAGATGATGATGATGATGAATGGAGAAAAGAATGTTTCTTAGATACGGGAACTGGACATTCAATAACTGTCTGCTATAAGGCACGCAGTCGCGAAATGCGTGATTTAGATAAACAATTTTACTCCCGGCATTCACGAACTATTAAAATGACAGTATTATTTTTGGCAAATTTCTACTCGTAAAAACTATAAAAAAAAAACTTTCGCTCTTGTGACTTTGATCTTTATTACTCCTCTAGATGTTTAGAATAAAATTAATTTTAAAGTTTATTTTATGTTCAATGCGATATAAGCATGTGGCACACCTGTGAGATCGTAGTTGCTTTGAATTTATACCACGTTACAACAAAATTTTGATTTGATAATTGTATTTTTCTTTTTGTATAAGAGGGGGCAAACGGGCTTGCGGCTCACCTGATGGTAAGTGATTACCATCGCCCGTGGAACCACTGCAACACCAGGGTAATTGCAGATGCGTTGCCGGCTTTTAAAAAAAGAGTACGCTCTTTTTATGATGGTCCCTAATTCGTATCGGTGGGGATAAAGAGCTGGTGGTAGTAGATTCTACAAGGAAGTTGTGCGAGGAAGAAAACTTAGCCAATCATCCAGATAGTATGGATGGTATCGCGAGTTTTGTCGCGATGTACAATGGTGAAATTGAGTGGCTGAAATAAGTCCGAACAATTCCTCAGACCACTACCCGTGGTAGATACGATGTTGAGGGTTGCGAAGATGTTGCAACTCAAAGAGATGCAACATCTCTTTGCAATGCTAGAATAACTCGGTCGCCGACGATTCAAACCGCTCTGCGCTGGATGCGATTTGTATTTCGTCAGATGAGACTGATGAAGATCTCTCTTCATCGTCGTCATTAAATATCATGCTTTGTGGTGATCTTTGATATGTTATGATTTGTTTGATATAGATGTCTAGGGGCAGCAGCAACCACTTGCCATCAGGTGGACTGTGTGCTCGTTTGTCACCCTTATCCTAAAAAAATATGATCTTTTGATTGTGATTTTTTCTATATACGGAAAACTTTTTGCCACATATTTTGGTCTAAATGGTATATAGAGTCAGTGTTATTACAGACTGTGGCATTTCATCTAAGTCCACAAAGGTGACAACGCATTTGTAGTCTTATTTGTTTGAAGTTGACTGCAGTAACCATTTTTTTTTTAATAGTATAGGATGATAAACGAACACACAATCCATCCGATGGTAAGTGGTTGCTGTGACCCATAGACATCTAAATCTATCCTCGATTACGAATCAAAATGCAGATGCGTTGTCAACCGTGAGAACTAAGATGGACTAAGATGGAATACCTCGTGTCCAGTAAAAAAGGTTTCCGGTTCTCTACACTCACCATACGAAACACAGCAGCTTTAAGTTGATATTTTACGCTGGTGTTCTGTGAGACCGTGGTCCTTCCCCGTTAGAGCCAACTATACCACTATATAACTAGTTGCACCATGGCCGTACCAGGTATAAAAACTTACCAATCATGTGTATTGTAAATTCGTTTATCGCTTCAGTTTAATAAAAAATACGTCTCTGTTAGGTAAATGTCTCTCATTTCTGAGGGGGTTTTAGGACACGGAAGCTTTCACCGTACAAGGTCAATGCAAGGCAACTTAATATATCCTCAACATTAAGCAATTTCTAAAACATACAGGTTTTCTTCTTGAACATGTTGATGATCTGTAATTGATAGATGGAAGACGGGAGAGACATATCTCCAACCCAGTGAACTTTTAGGAACTACCTTATCCAGCAGAAGATTTCAGTCTCAAGAAGAGTTGCGTGTGAGACTGAACGTAAAGTGTTAGTTCTTTTAAGAACATCCTGTATCTGTTGTATCTTTATATTTGATACTAGCTGGTGCCCGGCACGTTGCTACCGCAGAAGAAATAGGTAATTGTGGAAATATCGTTTTAAATTTGGAAGTGTTACATTGTTTAATTAGGAATGATAATACATTCCTTGATGTTGAATCATATTTAACTTTCAAATAAATTTGTTGGTACTATACACGTGCCACCTACTGTAAGTTATTTGTACTATGCCTATAACATTCGCGCAAGTGCAAGCAGTAAGTTGATATCTATGTGTGTAGTATGGCAGCGCATAAAATATGAACAAACAAAAAATATTTTTTATATATTAGATAATGCCTTTTGGCATTCTCTCCCAGTCAACCCGGGAAGTGTGGAAATAATTGATAGATGCCAAAAATACAGAACATTATAGTAAATCAGAAAAAAAAACCTATTCATATTAAACATACTAAAAACTACTCTTGCATTTCTAACAAGGCTTCTTGAACTAGCCATGAGACTAAACGAGATGAGTTTTAGGTCGTGCAAGAGCACCCTGTATTTGTTGTTCACGTATGCGTATGTGTGCGTGCAAGTGTAGTACTTTATACAATAGGCACATAAGTTCGTGCAATTATTTTTCACGATGTAAATTACCATTGTAAAGAACTCCATCGTCTTAACCCTTTCGCTGTCCCGTGTACTACATATAGGTCATAGCTATTGTCTTACTATTGTGTCTGAAAACCGGACAGTGAAAGTGTTAAGATTTAAGTAATTAGCCAATAACGTTCAAACAGATTTAAAACATTTGCGTACGCACGTCGTATTTCTATTTCGGCGCAAAAGAAGCGCGCGCTTCGGAGCGCGATAATAACAGGTTATTTTGGCGGTGCTCAGACAGAAATAGCAGTTGAAGTTCAGACTACAAGTCTGGACAATCTGCGTTGTCAGTTGTCACGTAGACGTAGACGATTTGTCACGTTGAGGGTAGAATAAGAAAAAAGTCTGCCTGTAATAAAGAAATAAGTGGCTTCTATTAAGCTCATGAGTTTAATTTCATGTTATTAACACATGAATAAAAAAAAATTAAATTTCTGTTTGTCTGTCTTTTCGGGCTAATATTTGGAATGGCTGAAACCATTGTAACGAAACTTTACGAACAGATAGAAATAATAAATATTTTAAAATATTACTAAAACTTGATAAAACAGATGATTATCTTAAATCTAGATAACGCCATCCAGGCGAAGCCGGGTCGGGACCCTA